TATATGTGTTAGACATAACACACTCCAACTTCAGTTCAACAGGCCTTCGATAAGTTGAAAAACAAGGCAAAAAAAGAGCAATTTTTGCACTATACTGCGCAGAAAAGCCGGTCTTTCCTCTCTTTTTTGAAGTTTTTGACGTAGAAAACTCACTCAGAACCTCTCACGAAACCTTGAAAAGTGGTTTTCTGTAGGTATCGCGACGCACTCTATCAATTGGACAGATCAAAAAAAGTTTTTAGCGCAAATGGTTTTTCGGCCTGAAAATCAAGATCTTCAAAAATCGGGGTTTTAAAGTTAAAATTAACCCAAACCATTATGAAATTCAGAATCAGCATGCTCGATTACCCCCGGTCAACTGAGTCTCAGCTCAAAAGCGAGGAAAACTTGGTGTCCGTCCCTCGTAAGAATAAAATATCATATTCATGACTGGATAACCGAAAAACTGTATTTGCATCTAAAAAATCGCCTTTCGATAAAAACAAATAAAATTCAAAGAATAGTTTATGTTTATTTTCAAGTATATTTGACTTGAATAATTATGATAAGTAGAAGTTCAAACGAGAAAACTCGTTACACGACCTTTCCACGAACGACATTACCGCGAACAGGAACTGTATCACATAATGACTGCTCACCACATAACTTCACTCAGGTTTCAAAACATGAGGTACAAAATACAAAACCAGGCTTATTTATTCTTCTTTTCCAATGAACAAGCCTTTGCGGAAATGTCGGTGTATCTGAAATTTTGCTCAAAAGACACTTTACTCAACGTAGTTTTTCATGATCGTCATGAATATGACGTTTACTTACATTTACATGATTGTATTGATACGGAAAACTTTGAGACACGACATGAATTTTTTCACTTTTTAAATTTTTGAAAATTTTTCCTTGCAGACCATCCGAACTGCATAAAGTTTTCACGGAATGTGTGTCTTATCTTAAAAGGATAACGCTAAAGGCTTGAGTCCAAAATGTTAAGTTTTTTCAGAGTTATCCTAGAATCCGAGTAAAAAGACTGATCATTTTTGATTAAAAATGATTATAAAAATATATTCAAACGCATCATTCGAAAGAGGACTGAATAATCGATCCGATACGGTAAACGAAAATTTTTAAGCACCATCAATAGTTAAAAATAGCGAAATCAAGTGGGTATACAAAATTTCCAAGAAAATATATTTAAAAAAATTTTTTGCCGTAACATACCGATACCGCTTGTTGGTTCATCTAGAATTAATACCTATAGGCCAAAAGGTGAAGAGATAGTAATTGTTATTATTAATGTTTTTTTCTATAAATTTTACTTTTGGGTCTCCTATCATTGAAATACCAATGGATAGTCGTCTTTGCATCCCTCCAGATAGGTTCTTAGCTAATGTTAATCGTTCATTTGATAAACCAATAAGTTGAAGAATATTTTCAACAGACTCCTCTGTTGCTTCTACATCCATATGACGCATCTGAATAAGAGACGAACTTTAATTCAAATTTAGATGTATTTTAATAGTAACATACCTTTGCCACTAATTCCAAATGTTCTTTAATAGATAATTCTGGATAGAGAATATCTAAATTTATTATTAAAATATGTATAAAAGAAATATAGTTTTATTTAGGAACTTTACCATATTGAGGGCAAAAACCTATTTCTTTTCGAACTTCTTCAATATTTTCTTGATTATCTAATCCACTAATACTAACAGAACCACTGGTAGGTTCCAACATACCGACAAGTATTGATGTTACTGTTGTTTTTCCAGCGCCATTATGTCCGAGAAGACAACATACTTCATTGTTGTAAAAGTCCACATTTAAATTAGATACTGCTTGAAATTTTCCAAATTTCTAGAGAAAAAAAGTCATGGGATATTTATTTATTTATTTTTTTGAAACACATAGGTAAATCCGGCTTACTTTTGATAATTGTTTCACCGACATACATAGACGTACGGGCGATGAAACCGATTTCATCCTAATCCATTTACTTGCACTTGTTTGATGCGGATTCACTGCAGTTTCATCCAAATCCACTGGTGCTATCGTCGAAGATGAATGAAGATTCCAGTACCTTTTCTAAATGATAATAATGAATAATTTCACATACAACAATATCTATGAGTTTAAGTAGTACGTTCTAGTGACTATACTTGCATACAAGAACTTGCTCAAGTACAGCCAGCACTTTTCAAGTATTTTTTTATTTGCAAATTTCCACAAGTATCAATCAAGTAGTGTTTTTTTGAAAAAAATTGTCAAGTAACACAGGTCAAGTACTTATCAAGTCACCCGCACAAGTTTGAAAGTAAACAAGCACCTGCTCACAAGTACATTCACTAGGCATGGCCTGAAATCATAGTGTTAAAATATATATGTAATATATTTTATCAAAAGACACATGAAATCTAATAAAATATCCGTATAGTAGAGATGTACATGAGTTTGGCTGTTTATTTAGCTTAGTATTAAACTAAACCCCCCCCCAAAATAGAAGGCCACCCTATATTAGAAGGGCACCCTAAATAGAAGGCCACCT